AGCATGGCTTCATGTTGAGAAAGAGAGCTACAGATTAAATGTTTGGTTTGAGAGTGCTGAGGAAGAAGTGTGTAGAAAGAGCCGTGCGATGTTTTTGTGGATCTGTAGAAAGCATATGATCTGGTGTGATACTGGACGAGGAAGTAAGGGTGGTGCAGGACATGTATGAGGATAGCTATCAGTGGGGAGGTGTGTGGTAGGAGTGACAGATGGGTTTGGATTACGTCAGGGATCGTCTCTGAGCATCTTCTTGTTTGCAGTGGGGATGGATGGATGGCCAGATGAGGTCAGGCCGGAGTCTCTGTAGACTGTGATGACACAGACGACGTTGTGTTCTGCAGTGAGAGTATGAAGTAGGTGGATGAAAGCCTGGAGAGGTGGGGGTATGTTCTGGAGAGCAGAGGAGTGATAGCCAGTAGAAGCCAGACAGAGACGGGTGTTAACAGTGAAGATGATAGGACTAGAGGTTTGAGTAACTGGGGTCAAAAAAAGCCATGGACAGTGCACAAGAGAGATGAAGTTGAGAGAGTGTAGGCAGGGTGGAGTCGGAGGATCAGAAGGGTTTCTGACAGAACATTACATAAAGCTGTGGTATTGCTAAAAACGGCTGTCTGCTCTATTTCCCTACTTTACAGTGGGACTCTGTCTCCTCCTCACCACTAGAGGTCACACTTTTTCTTCACCGAGTCTTCATTCGGCCACTTCCTGTCCCACCGGAAGCGAATACGCGAACGGGGCTGCTGCTTCCAGTACACACACGTGAGAAACAAGCCAAAACAGACAGCAGATACAAGATGGACATTACAGAGGTCTCAACAAGTCAGGACGGCAAAGGGAAGAAGGGCAAGAAAGCGAAGAAGAAGAGCGCGGAGGTTGATGGGGAAGGCGGCGCGGGGGAGGAGAAGAAGATGGTGAAGAGCGAGCTGGCTGTTGCCTTTCCTCCCGCCTTCAGTGTGTCAGAAATCAAGAATAAACAGCGGAGACACTTCATGTTCATGAAACTCAAGCAGGAGAAGAGAAAGGTACCGATACTGGGTCATGGGTGGTAATGGGGGGGAGCTTCCGGTACGTGGGACACTCACGTGCCAGTTCATTAGGTACAGCGGTGCGTTAAAACTGCATGAATCCGTTTTACACGAGCACAACTCCAGAGTATTTCAGTAGAACTGTTAATGTAAGAGAATACAATAGGATACAATGATAAACATAAAATATCAATGTCTCGTTTTAGCACGTGTTTTTTCATTAAACGTCAACATGTTACGTCTGTCGTTAGGCTGCCTGTTTTGCTTGGGTCCAGTTTATTTAGACTCTGACTCCTTATGTGCTGCTTAACTCACCACTAATAATGTTTCATTAAAGTGAAGTATAGTCAGGGTGGGTCTCCTTGTTCTTCTGTTTATGAGGGAAAAAAACAACCAAACAAAAGTCATTAGGATCAACATTTGCTGATATTAAAGTTGGACCATAATCATTGCATCCCTAAATATTAAGCACACCTGTTAAAGTTAATAACTTAAGAGTAGGCTGGTAAATATCTAGTTACCTATTTATTTTGTGTCAGCATTGTGGGGCCTTTTTAAAATACTGTTATTTATATTATAATCAGGTGCAGCTTCTGATGATACTTGTATGGAATCACAATAAATTTTATGTGAGGTAACAAATGGCCAGGTTTACTAGTTGTGACACACAGAAAAAGGTACATCTATAATTTTATTTAAAACATCACTGCTTATCCAGATCAGTTCTAGCAGGAGTAATCGATAAATCACTTTATTAACTTTGAAAACCTCCTTGAAGATTTATTAACTTCTAA